TAGAATCATTCTGGTTTAGCCGTCTTAAAAGACGTGCGGCTAAACCCGAATGTTTCTAGTTTTAAGTCTAGTGATAGTCCTAGTTTTAATTGTTATTCAGCGTTAGATTGAATAACTAGCCGTACGTCTCTTAAGACGGCTACACCCGAATGTTTCTAGTTGTAGGTCTAGTGTTAGTTCTAGAGCTAGTGCTAGCTCTAGTTTTAGTTATTATTAAGCTAAACTCGATCAAGATTTTATTTTAAATTATGTGTCAAATACACTTGTAACAACATTGCAAACCACGAATAGCATACATTAAGCATTTGCCAATTCAAAGTGTGAAATAGTGGTTGCCTAACCATGCGTGACGTCACGAACGGACCTTCGAGCTGTGACCTGCTCACGAGATTTTGCTACAAACCTGTTAGATTCCGTTCTTGGTATAAATGTAAAGTCGAGTTCGAATTTATATGCATTAAAATTATTCATTTAAACAATTTAAAGTGTAAATTAAAAATTTGTCATATAATGGACTTATTTATTACGAAATAAATAAATAATTGACTTTGTGAAATAATTCGTATCGACTCCAAAACAGCTCGTGTCCACCTAATATTATTCGTTTGAAGTTTCAACAGTTGCAACATGCATAAATTCGTCCACAGTAACAGTTGGAGTGTAGTTATTTTAGTACTCAATAGAAACCGTCTGTTGTCGTCAGTTGACGTGTATGAAGCCGTAACATATAATTTACCGAATTTCAAATGAGAACCATTCCTCATGAAACTACCAGGTTCATTTTCATACAGTTTCTATGGTTTACTTGAAATAACTGAAACTAAAACAACCCAATTCTAAACACAAAATAGTAGTAAGTTAAGTTTATGTCGAGAATAAGAAAGATTTTTGTAAAACAGTAAAGTAACTCAACCTCTTCTTCTTCTCCTCCGTCCAGTACTTTTGCGTCGTTAATTTAGCCGCGACGTCTTGAACACTCCCCCTATTCTTTGCGAGGTCGCTTTATTCTAGAGGATTTATTGGGTACTTTCCAAGAGTTAAAATAAAAGAGCACGAGAAATAAAGTTGGATGGAGAATATTATTTTTTTTGTTTTAATTTTTCATAAAGGGGATTTACAAAAATTTGGTTACTAATAGAAGAATTAAATGGATGATAAGGATGGAGGGTTAAATTACAATGTTGCATGTCTACTTCGTGTCCACGAGTTGATATAAAAGCCGATAAAGTGTAGGGGAAAAAAGCGAGAAGTTACACGCAAAAGCCCTGGAACTCACGAACCCATCACGTAGTGAGGGACGGTTATTTCCCATTCAGAATACTTCTTTCATCCCTCTTTTCCTTCAACGGAAAAATCCCGTGAGTATATTTTATTGTGGGGGGCCTCGTTTTGGGAGATTCAAAGGCTAGAATTGGACGGCAATAACGGGCACTTTGGCCTTATTAGAGGAGCCTTTGAGATCTACCCCAATGTCACAAGGGCAGTAAAGGCGTCTGTTGAATTATTATCCAAGGTTTTAGTAAATTGCTTTCAATCGATTCTCCCCCCAACTTTAACAATAAATTATTCGAACCCGTCTTTTCTATCAATCCATTCTACATATAGATTAATTAAAATACTATTTTTAACCGGTTTTATTAAAGCCAATTTGATAATCACTAAAGACAATTCATGTTGAACGCGTTAATTACATCCTAGCGATAATTCAATAATTACCGTCTATCTGTCACTGGCTCTACACCAGTATGGGAAACGGATTCGTGGTCGTGATTTATGCGGACGTCAGTGATCGCCATTGGATTTCCCCCTGTTCATTTAAGGCGTAGAGGCGACCATCGAGACTTTGTACGGACAATTGAGTTCCCCATAATATACCCCACTCCTCAATATCGGTCACGAACTCACGCACAAAGCTGCCCGCACGATTTGATTGATAGATAATTAATTTAGACCAATCTATGCTCGGAAATGTTCATCATGGGATTCTATCAAATAACAGCTTTGAACTACAGATTTTCCAATTGGAATTCGAATATCAATCATCATTTAGAAATCGAATTGCTTTTGAAATCATAAAAATTAGAATTAGATTATTAATTAATGTTGAATTTCATTCGGAATGCTTAATTGTACTCCTCTGAGCAACTACATTAAAAGGGAAACTACTACACATATCATGTTATGCTTGGTCTTAAAATGTGTTGATTCATCAATTGAATACGATTAGTACACACAATCCGGCTTTGGCAATAGAATAAAAAAGGAAGACGTCTTTGAAAAGTGAATTTATGTCGCCTCTTTCTGCATCACATTGCCTGTTCCTTTGGGCGATATGACGCTATCTTCTAGTTTTGATGGCAGATTTTGTGGTAGTCATATGACATACACGATTTCAAATGTTGAGGTCACTCATTTTTTAGATAAAACGCGCCAAAGTGTTTGCCCATATACGAATAGGGCTCCTATAATAAGAGAACTGGGATTTAAGAAATACTACAATCATTGCTTATTAATTAGCTTAAAAATATTTAAATATCTTAAGGTTTTGGTAAAGTTACATAATCATCCAACACACCCTTGGTGGAGAATTATCGTGATTATTACTTCATAAGACTCATAGAAATGCTTTGGTAACAACATCTATTGCTTTACTGAGCATTTTCTGATATTTTTTCATAACATTTTTAATGTTTACCTTCTTGTTGCAAAATAAAGGTATTTGTCAACTCCATCGGCAACACCTTTATAAAACTCAGTCATGCCAATTGTATTTTGAAGAGCACTCACATCTTATATTCAAGTTCAAAGATTTTAGTTATGGTGAGATAACAATTGTAAGGTATGATTCTATAAGACACAACAATTATGAATATATTATTTAGATATTTGAAATTTTGAGCAAAATTTAATGTCGCAGAAAATTTTGTAACAAATAAATTATGTAGCTTATAGTTTACCCGAAGTAACTTGGATCTGACATAACGTTGATCTTGGAATTGAAGTATTTGCCGATTACAGAATATGGTGCCTAAAAGCTTGCATATTTACATCTAATTCATTGTTTTTTATAAGCATCCCTCATAAAGTATAACACATTTCTGATGTTGACATGAGTAATGTTAAAAGTATTTGTAGCATGGATGTTCGATAATTAAACGATATCAACCCAACCAATCAATCTACAAACGTAGTTAAATTTGCAGAGATGCTTGCCAAACTCACGTAATACATTCTTCAACACATTGAGCAACAAGCTTTTTACAGGAGGCGATTATAACGTTAAACACCCAATATGAGGTTCACTTCAAGATTAATAAAATCAGAAAGAAGTTCTCTTTTAGTCAAAGCAATGAAAGCAAATCTATAGCAAAGCTATAGCAAATATCTACTGACTAACTAACACACTGGTCGACTTATAGATAGCACCCTGATGCTATTGATCAATGTTTTGAATTGTTATCAACGTTCATTCACAGATAAATACAGAAAAATAACCAACCTAACATAAAAAACCAATTGGGATGCACGGGGAGAAAAAATAGATAACCTACATTTCCCTACGTCAGCAATTAAAATTAAAATTGTACAAAATAAGCTTTTAACAACCACGTTTATCCTAAGGTGTCAGAGGCATCTCATCAAAAACAGATCTCTTTTGACTTTAAACTCAAATCACTCTGCAAAACTTTCGATCTACGACTTCTTCGTTCGAAAACGGAAAGCAAGCTGGGAAGACTACACCATTGTGTAGAATCCGCGTGGGCGTCTTCGACAAAATCATTCGTTTCGTCAAAAGCAAAGCCTCTTCCTGTAGAAAGTTCGTACTTTGGAAAATTTGGCAAAGCAAAAGACTGCGTTTTGAGAATGTCATTCGACAAACATAACAGATTTGTCAAAAAAGGTAAAAATGCCTTTCAATTGTCAATCCTTGGCAAAATTCGTAACTCAAATCTCTTTTGCTTACCTCGACATATGTTAAGCCTTTAATAAGCTATGGCACACAGGCTTACAAGTCAAACTAAAGAGGCTTCATCTCCATTTACTCTATCAACTGTTGAAATCATATTTGACAGACAGACATTTTCTTGTGAAAGAAGGCAATTTATACCTGAGGAGTGCCTCAAGGTAGAATCTTCGGCCCGGTAACATATTTATTGTATGTATCTTTCATGTCAACAACGAAAAGTACCACTGTTGCAACATATGCTGATGACACCGCATTTCACACTGACACAAAATCTCCCTCTAGAAATCTACAACATAATACTACATAATATATACTGCTCTTCATAAAAGAAGAGCGATGACTGAAACGTGTACTGGCGTCCAATTTAGTTCTACGGTAAAGATAAATTCAGACACTAAATTTGTAGGTATAAAATCTATAATAGTTAATTTAAAAGAGATCACTCACTGAAGTAAGAATTTACGTAACTTGCACTCTACTTGCTTCAATAAAAACAATATCGATTTTACAATTATACCATACAGATATAATGCTAAACATAGTTGAAGTAAATTCAGAGCCCATCAATACACACAAATCCATCAAAAGAGAAGTGATGATTTTAACATGTTAGTTATTCAGGCCGCATAGTATTTGAAATCGATTTTCTTCGGAATGTATTGTGGTCAAAATAAAAAAATCATCTTAATATGCGAATGAAAGCTCGGGTTATCACAATTTCTAATAAGAGCAGTTTTGAGACAGTATACGATTTCAGACTTTTTATCATTTTATTAGAACTAGTTTTTGAATAAATTGTTGCTGCTAGAATTTGCAAATATGTTTAGTCATTTTCGATTATGGGGAGCAAAAAATGACGATGGGAATGTTACAGCCCTTGTGTTACTTGATTTCTTCACTTTATTTTTCTAGCAATCCTGCATTACACTGGAAACTCCTCAATAGGATATAATGATAGTAATGTCTGATTAATCTGTTTCTGATTTATTTAAAAAAGTTAAAAAAAAACTACAATCATAACTATGATTCCTACCTTATCTCTTATTTCTTGTCTCATCTTTTCCCTTTCCTCTTCCATCTTTCTGTGTTTTTCCTTTCTCCTTTCTTCGGCTTCTCTGATGGCTTCGAGTCGTTCCCTCTCGGCCTCCTCCTCCTTCTCTTTGTCGTCTCCATCATCATCTCCGCCTACGGCGCCTAAAACAAACCAAAAACAAAGACACCAAATATTAATATAATTTTTTTTTATTCAAAGTATCTAAAATATCGACTTACAACAAACATCATGCAAAAAATAGAGCGACTATTTTTCTACTCAGATACCTATAGCAGATTTTTAGAGATTTATTGGAAGCTTTCAAAGTCGTAAGGAATCCAATATAGATGATTCGATCAATCATAGAGTTCACGAAACGCAACCTGTCCTCTACATAGATGTGGTAAAAGAACCAACACGATGAGAGAGCAGGTGGATGAAATTTAATTTATCCCGAGTTTAATTCGAAGTCAGACTTGGCTTTTAAGCCAACTGGGTAGCTAATGAGGTCGGTTTCAAAAGCAGATGGGACGTGTCGGATCTTTTGTATTTTCAGGGGGTTGTTTTAGCTGACAATCTTGTTTCAAATTTGATTTAAACGAAGATTTATTACAACGGTTTATAGTAATTACTTATAAAAAAAATAAATCTTGCTTATATTCAAATAAAAACACCACATTAAAAGTTAATTGGTGTTTACTTTCTGGTTGTATTCATGGAATTTTAACTCTAACTGAAAATTGTTTTTTTCGTTTCACGTTTCCGCTCTTTTAACATTCCAGTTTGTTTTGTCGTCGTCCTATTTTCCCCGTTTTATTTACTTTTTAATATTTCGCTTTTCTTATTTCTTAAAAAGACATTACGTGACCTTTTATTTTAATTTTACAAAATATGCACTACGAGGTTAGTTTTATAGCTATTTTCGAACACATAAAAGCGCCACGAGAACTAACGTTCAATGTTGACTTGCAATTCCGGTGTACCGTAAATTAACGAAAGAGTTGCGTCAGGGGGTTTTTATTGTTAGTTCGGGCACGCTATCCCATATCTGAACGGGTTGATCGCGTATTTACACGAAACGATGAAAAAGGAAACGGAATAAAAAAACCAAAGGAACACACCTCGTTATGATTTTTAAATTGGTTAGTTTAACGGCGTTTTCCTTACCCAATATCTTATCTCGTAATCTTTTTGTTCAAACTGCCGAAAGACCGGGTTTAAGCCAAATTTTATATCATCATTTTAGGTCGATATTTATGTGGGGCGGCGGCGAAGATTTTTACTACGATGCATTTTTAGTTTATTCGTTGAGTATTTAGGTTAAGTAGTGGGGTATGCGTGCCAAGATAAAATATATGGGAGGAAATAACATTTTGTTATGTAGTTATGTTTGTGTTATTCGAGTAGATGTAATTGTAATTTGGATAAATTCACATATCCAATTATAAAATAAATCGGGTTGGAATCGCGAAATTTGTTGGTATCATTTAATATTCCGTGTTTAATTTGTTAATTGGGATGATCAACATGTTATTCGAGTCATAGTTTTAGGTATTTGTGACACTTTCGAAATGCTTGTTGATTTGTAAACATGATTTGTTCTTAATCCAATTAGTACAGATCAAATGCAACGAATTAAATAACATACAGTGTGTTAATTAATTATCGTACCCGACGTCATTATTGCAAGTATGCAACCAAATACGCAAATCGCGTATTGCAATACCAATACTGTGATATTGGTTGCATACTGACAATGATGAATTAATTAACGCACTGTACAGGGAGTCCAAATTTCGATGGGCTTGCAGGATATTTCAGTTATTATGAAAGATAGAAAGTTGCGGCTTTCGCGAACCTGAGCCACTCCTGTATCTCGGCTATTCGGAAACTTAGTAAAAAAGTAAAAACGAGTTGTAATAGATTTTTTCACGTGGAATCCAATGGTGCACGTAGAATTTTTCTAGTCATCACGGTTTTTGAGTTATAAACACAACTCAAATACTGAATTCTCAACTTCTAAAATACTTAACTGTTTGTAACTCAAAAACCGTGATGACTAGAAAAATTCTACTTGCACAGTTGAATTCTACGTGAAAAAATCTATTAGAACCCGTTTTTACGTTTCTGGATAGTCGAGATACAGGAGGTGTCTGAGAATGGTAAATTTTGAAACACTCCCTGTATATGAAAAACGAAGAGGGCTATGAAAATGTGGTTTGCGCCATTGTAAGTTTTACAAAAAAGTAGCTCAGGTTCGCGAAAGCCGCAACTTTCTATCTTTTATAATAACTGAAATACCCTGCAAACTCATCGAAATTTGGACACCCTGTACAACGTTATGTCATAGAATAACCAGAAGTGACAGTGGCAGTATCTCGTCAAATCTGACGCCATATTATAGGAAGTTACCAAAGTATGTTGCTATTGGTGGTAAAGATTTGGCGGGATACCGCTAGTGTCACTTCTGGTGTTTTTGTGCCAAAGTCCGGTGAGTATTGGTTATATGGAACCTATTATATTATGGAACTAGAAACATTCGGATTTAGTTTTCTAGTTCTAGGCCTAGTGTTAGTTCTAGTTTTACACTAGCACTGTTACTATGTAGAGCTAACACTATACTTAGAACTAGAATCATTTGGGTTTAGCCGCACGTCTCTAAAGACGGCTAAACCCGAATGATTCTAGTTCTGGGTATAGTGTTAGTTCTAGTTTTACACTAGCACTGTTACTATGTAGAACTAACACTATACCTAGAACTAGAATCATTTGGGTTTAGCCGCACGTCTCTAAAGACGGCTAAACCCGAATGATTCTAGTTCTAGGTATAGTGTAAATTTTTATGGCTAGTGCTAGTGTAAGAACTAGAATCATTCGGGTTTAGCCGCACGTCTCTAAAGACGGATACGTTCATAACAACAGCGTTCATAGGGAGTTGGATAACCTTATACAGTATGTTTGTTGAAAGAACCTTGATTCTGTGATTTTGGTAACTCACGATAAAATGGCGGATTTTAAATGGAGGTCACAAAACGAGGTGCCGCCTACATCAAACTAATCGACGTCAGTGTCATTTCTGGTTATTCTGTAGTTACGTGTTAACTTATTGATTTTTCAATCTTTAAAATATACGAAGCCCCTTTTCTGTGCTAATTCCCATCTTGTACCCTCATAATTGAATAAAGGACGTCGTCGTCTTCGATCTATTTCTCTTGTAGTACAGAAAACCAGGTTTTCAACGGGTTTTAATAGGTTTAAAGTTTAAGAAAGGACGATGTCGCGCAATAATGTAGTTTCTCTTGATGTGATCAACGTCGATATTAACTTTTACATCAACATACAACGTTGTGTACTGTACGAAGAGGGTAAATTCAATATCTCTCACGTAATTCGCTTATCATATCCACCCTTCGGGAAAACAACAGGAAATAACCCTTTATTACTTGTTACACACACACACAAAAGACGTTATCACACGAACCCCATCTGCAGAACCGTCAACAGGACTGCTCGTCATCGTACGATGAAGCTATGAAGCTACAAAAGGTCGTCCCGACGACGCCACTTGACGAGTTTACGAGTTGTTTAGTATCAGTTATGATATTGCGAAACTCTTGACGTTTTCTCTGGTGATGAAGAAAGATCGTAAACGTGTCACGAAAATGGTTAAGATGAAGCAAATTTGAATGGATGAGGTGGGCGCGTTGGGAGTTTTTCGGTTGTTTGCGATATTAAATTGGAGTTTCGAGTTCATTCTGATGGCTGCCTCCAAAATTGAATCAAACCAAATGGAGATTTAATATTATTTGTCGGAGAAATAAATTAATGCCACACGCATCGCGACCGTACGGTACTGTTTTCCCGGGTCGAGATTGAGGGTTTATTAAATTCGGCAAGTTCGCGAAATTAATCGAGTCGACCGTAAACAATGGTCGGGAAATTGGGAAATTTCTGGAAAAGACGGAGCGCAACGAGACGGCGGTTCCGAGAGTTTTCGTAAAATTTATTGCGGACGTTCCTGCGCCCGAAGCTAAAAGCGAACCGTTATGAACGTTGGGGCTAATATTGTATGCCGATGAATTATGCAAGTTTTATGGACGAAATTTACAAACAAAATTTCACAAACTATGTATAATTTATTCAAATATAAATTCCAACGAGAATAAATTACATACGTTAATAATCATCTCTAATGTTCATTTGGTTCTATTAAAATTAATATCGAGTTCAAATTATCCTCTTTAATTTATCAATTTTATTATCAAAATTTCTTTAAAACACAAATTTTAAACCAAAACTAAATCTCAAGTAATAATTAGAAATTCTTTTGAAGAAGGCGAGAGCCCTATTAACTTCCATTCAAAGGAAATCCCCCGGCAAAAATTTCAACGCCTTTGTACTGTACGTATTCCAAAACAACAAGCGAGTAGAAGAAACGACGGAGATTAAGGGCGAGGCAACTTCCGCGCGCCACCTACAGACGTCCGCGTCCGCAAAACAATCCTTAAAGAAATCCCCGCGATTTATTTTTCACGTCTGTAGATATTCCAATTTCCCCATCAGACAAAAGCGAGCCCTCTGGCGTTGTACCCTATTTTTTCCCTTAATGTTCTATATTCTCTTCTAAACCTCTCTCCTTTTCTTTCGGCTTCTACGTATGTCTATAGAGTTCAATTATCAGTCGAGGACGGCTCTTAAATTGTACACGTCACTCTACGAACCATTTTCATCGCACACCCCTCGTGGATTAAATGGATCTAGGGTACGTGAATGAGAAGGGATGAAATGGTTGTATTAATACGGGCACGAAAGTTTTAACTGTCAACATATTGTTGCAAATACAGACCTAATTAGAAAACACAATTAATTAATTTGACTTGTCGAAAATGTAATTCATTGTTTCTTGATTATCAAATATATACGTTTTAGTACTCTGACCGCTAAATCATAAAGAAGAGTAAAACTCAATAAATACAACGACTTTGCACGAAACAAGAACATCTATTGATTGCGACTTGGAATGCAAGGATTCTGTACAGCTTGGGCGTACTCTGGAACCTAATAGGAGACACTAACAAATGTCCATTCGATGTCGCCCTACAAAAAATAACGCGGAAGGGATCATGGAACGCTGGAGACCCGAAATCATACATTTTTTATA